GAGGCCAGAAAATGGTGGCACACACGCCTTTTATCCTATGGCTTGGGAGGCAGAGATCCATCTGGATTTCTGTGAGTTTAAAGCCACACTGGAAACAGCCAGGTATAGTGTGACTCATGCCTTTAATCCCAGGAAGTGAGCCTTTAATCCCAGGAAGTGATGGCAGTAAGCAGAAAGGTATTTAAGGCTTGAGGACGAGGAACTAGAGCCTGGTTAAGCTTTTAGGCATTTGAGAAGCACTTCAACTGAGATCTATTTGGATAAGGACACAGAGGCTTCCAGCCTGAGGAAACAAGATCAACTGAGGAGTTGAGAGGTGAGGAAGCTGTGGCTTGTTCTGCTTCTCTGATCTCCCAGCATTCACCCCAAAAACTGGCCTTGGGTTTGTTTTTATGAATAAGACCCTTTAAGATTCGTGCTACACAGAGCTGAAGTCCTTCGTACAGGAAACCCAATATAAACCCTGAAGTAAACACAAGATCCTATATATTCCCAGGACACAAGGTCCACGTTTGCCCTAGAGGTTCCATTAGCACTTATCTGTAGTTCCTACACCCATCGTGTAGATCAGGACTGTAGCTGGGGACCTGAAAAGCCAGCAGACAGGACTGAGCGGGGGTATGAAGGCACTGTCCCCTGTTCTGGCTTCAACCACTTGAGAGACATGGTTGATAATACATCCACTTCAGATCAGAGGTTTTAGTGAGACTCTCAGGCCTCTTCTTGCTGGAGACAGTTTTAAAACCTGGGAATGAGCTGTGGATATACATTTTTACATTGACAGTTTAGGATCTGGGAAGATGACTTCAGTCAGTTAAAGTATTTGCTTCACAAGCATGGGGACTTGAACCGAATCCCCGACACCCATTTGCCTATTATCCCAGCACTGGGGGTTGGAAGACTCCGGGGCTTCCTGGCCAGTCAGTCCAGTGTATCAGTGAGCTTCAGGTTAGGTGAGTGACCCTATTTCAAAAAGTAAGGTGCATAGAGATTTAGGAAGACACTTGATGTCAACCCCTGGCCTTTATGTGCATACATGCATGTGAACTTGTATACACACACACACACACACACACACACACACACACACACACACACATGCTCACACACATACACGCAGATTGTTGCTTCAAGGAGGAGAGCATACACCAAGTTTTTAAGAAGTGAAGACACCATCCTGTTTCAAGTTTGCCGCGAGCAGAATATCTGCCTCATTTTCTCAGCCAAAGAGGCAGGGAGTCCCTGGAGTTCACCAACTCCAGCTCATGGCTTCCCATCCACCGACTGTGTTCTCGACAGCTGTAAGCTTCCAGGCTCAGCTTCTGGCCGAGTGTCATGTGTGCCGGGGCCCACCATTCGCGTTTCACCCCCGGCCCCTCAGCTGGTCACTTCAAGGATTCTTTCTGGAAAAACAAAACACAAACAAACAACAACAACAAAAACAAAACAGTACCTTATGTCTGAATTTTAATAGGCACCCAAACCCAAGAAAAAGGAGCGAATCAAAGCGAGGGACAGTGTTGCCAGTCTGTAGGTCGGACATCGCAGGAATGTCTCAGTGGTTAGGACTTGGGGAAGCTGCTTTTTGTAGATCTTCTGAGTAACAGACAGCTCAGCTACAATTTTAGGGGACACTGGGTCCATAAGCCTGATGTCTTTAGTTTCCCCATTTTCCAAAAGAGATTAGGAAACAGAAATCAATAAAATGCTTGTATTTATTTATTTATTTATTTATTTATTTATTTATTTATTTATTTATTTATTTATTTATTTATTTATTTATTTATTTATTTATTTATTTATT